CTTTCAAATACACTTTATAGGTGAACTTATAGCGGTACATATGGATATTTAACACAGAAAGGATTGAAGCACTTAGATCTTAAGAAGTTTGGATGAACTTTATGAATTGATGCACTTTATTTTGATTAATTATTTTGTCATGAAACTACATGCACCTTATCTGATGAATTTACTATATATTGGTGATGAATTATGCAATGTTTATGAAACCTATGTTCTAAGGTAGATATTTTATTTTGATTATTTGGGCACTTTCTATCAGTGTGGACATCATTAATAGAGTTAAAGGTATTTTATTAATTTATAGTTTATTTAGTGCAATATTTTTATATGATTTTTAAGTGGTATATATCACTTTATGCACAGCTGCTGGGTGTTTAATTTCGGGTAGCTTAGGCAGGGGTGCAGACTTTTCTTGTATATATGTAGCCCCTATGTGAGTTGCCACGAAATCAGCTATAACTCTGCTTGTAAATAGTTAAATGACACTGTGCAGCCTGTGATACAGAGACTTGTGGGAGTTGCAGTGCAGAGCCTGGGACAAGCTGTGCTGTGAGAGACGGTTGATACTACAATTACCAGGAGGCTGTGATTTGAGCAGGAGGGGTGATTTGAGCTGGAATTTCTGAGCACGCTCAGTCCGGGAGAGACCAGCGAAGTGTACAGATCTATGTGGCTGCTGCTAACGCAGAGGAGCCAAAGACTCTGTGTAAGCCTCTCTAGGGGAGTGTGAGTGGACTGGACAATTAGTGTTGTTTGGATGATCACTTCTGTGGGGCGCAGCATAACCTACACAGCGGAGATATCGCGGCCTGGATGAACGACCGCGCTTGGTCAGATCCATAGAGGGATAGTAATCCACGGGAGGCCTAGAGGTGTTTGCAGAGAGTGTTCATTAGCATCTTCCTGTAACCGAAGATCGTCTTCAAGCTACAGCGAATGACACAAGGACCAACAAGGGTGTCGGCTTGAGAGAAAGGGGATGCCTGTCTCTCGCTAATGGACATCATAGCTGCAGGATTGACTCTGGAAGTGGTGAGAGACCTCTGACCATTTCTGTTATTTCTGCAATTTGCTTCAGCAACACAGTATGGGCCCCGATGATGGCTGCCCAGTAGCATACAGAGCTGGAAATGATTTGGGACTGAGACATTAGCAATCCGGTCTTCAAAGTCAAAGGTAGCAATTGAGAAAGTTCAGTATATAGATTGCCGCAGCTGCTGAGTGTCTGAATACCCAATCTATATTGCTGAATGTTGTTTCTTCCAAATATTGTGTGTCCTTCATTCCAACGAATATATACTATTTACCTAGTAAAGCTATTACAAAACTCTCTAAGGTGTGTTGGTATGCTGTGGATCCTGATTGGGCGGTACATTCTGGCTTGGGGACAGAAATACCCGGGTTATTCTGGCAGCTCCTTTGGGGGTGAAAGCTACATATAAAACGTCTAAGTAACCAATATCAGAACTATTCAAACAGAAGGAAATCCTTTACATGATGGCTTTTTGGAGACACTGGCATTGAGAAACACTGACCTAGTGCATTCATCTATGTCAAGAGAGATACAGTACATATGCTGTACACAGGGATCAGATTTAGCTGACTTGTGTAACATCCCAGGGAAAAGAAAGCTATGAAAGAAGACAAGGACAAAAGGGAAGCTGATAACAAAAAGTAAAGCTGCAGAAATGTGACATAAAAAATAATAAAGAATTTTATTAAAACATCTAATAAACAATATTTAATTTCCAGATAATTCCAGATAACAAAATTTATGTTTTTTTTTCCAAAAGTCTGAAATCTGTGTACTATTTCAAACACCAGAAAAGGTTTTTTTCAAAAGAACCCTCCAACATTGCAGACAAAATATACATTTTTATATAGAAATATGTTACACAATACCAAGCCATACAGGTTTGAGGCAGTAGGATGGCCTTGAGTTTACGGGGGGCGGGTTTATTTAAAGCTTTTATATGTTAGGAAATTTCAAGGAAGTAAATGGATCTAATATTAACAATATACTGCAGCAAGTGGCATTCTTAATTCTACCAATTCAATTACAATGTTCAAATTGTAGCATGTGTAGATAGATAGCTTTAGAGGATTTACCTAGGCATGGTTTTTGCAGAACCGTTGGGATGTAAAGTGGACCTTCACCACCTTTGACTAAAGATCACATCAGCATACAGCTCTGCATGCTGATATAAAATCATCTCACATTCATTAAACAAACATCTTTATTTTACTTGCAACTTCTTTTTTTTACACTTGCTGGTCCACTTTGGCACAAATTATGTAATCATGCCCAAGAATTGCATCCTGGGAAGGTTACATCAGCAGAGCATTGCTGGGGAATCTCCTCTGTAATCTCATGAGATCTTAGGGAAAGGCATTTTCCTCCCCTGAGATGATGTGCATGGTCACATGTCCTAGTCACGTGTCCCAGAGTTATAGGAAGTAAAGGGAGATCTATTAACATGGCCTTAGTTAAAAAGGCCACTGTGAGAAGACTGGGAAATAAAAAAAGAAATGGAGGTATGTAAAGACTACAAAGCCGGCAATTATCTAGAAGTATCTGTGTATTGATTGCCATTACTAAACATTTCTAAAGGTGCCTTTGTTGTTATTTCTGAAGATATGGGTAAAGTTCCTCCCTAAGGTTCTTCTACAAGACTCCAACTGATCAGAGGGAAATGGCCATACAAAGGGTTTGGTCTACTAATGACAAACAGGCTGTTCACTTTACAAGAGAAGATCCCCCTTATCTTAGTGAATGAGGTGAAGTTCTGCTGACTTCCATCATCCAATCATGTGCAAGCAAAAACACTGTTTTTATATTCTTGCACGTTATTGGGTGTTTTTTGCAAAATAAATTTTCACCACATTCACGAATCTAGGGGAAATTTGCTTGAATAGTGAACAGCCTATTTGCCTTCAGTAGACCAAACCCTTTGTATGGGGAGTTTCCTCTGATCAGTTGGGGTCTTGTAGAAGAACCATAAAGAGGAACTTTACCTATATCTTTGCAGCTTTCACTAAAATAATACCTGGTGATAATGACATGAAGGTCTTTGTCCAGGACCTTGTTTTTATTGTTCAGAACAACCTATTCTGTGCTTTTCTATATTTTGTTCATTAGTTTCTAACCTAGGGCTTGACTTTACATTGTTACAGTCTCTTTCTAAAAATTGTGGACCACTCTAATATTAACACCAGCTACCATCCTGCCTATAGAAAGTGTCCTTACTAGCACTGATGCAGTCTCATTAGACAGCGGAATGGCAGGTCGTGGGGCGTCTAGGGGTTCATCACATACAGGTCTATTTACTAAAGAGTGAAGAGTTTAGAGAAGGCAGGAGAAGTGAACAATCTAGGACAAAATAGCCGATTTGGAAAAATTCTCCCATTAAGCTCACTTTCCAGTTCAGCTATGTTGTCCTAGATCAGGGGCGCCCACTATTTTTCATCTGGAGATCTACTTTTCAAATGACGAGCTCATTGAGATCTACCAACGAAAAAACACCTGCATTCAGGGGTGGGAGGGGGCGTGGGCTGCGCAGGCAGGCCCCTCGCCCACAGTGCGATCGCCTGCATTAGTGCCTGTGTTCCAGTCCAGTGCGATCCGCAAAAATGCTGCGAGCACTATTTTTGCAGATCGCACTGGACCGGAATGCAGGCACTAATTTGCCTGCGTTCCGTGTGCGGGCGATCGCACTGTGGGCAATGCCATTGACTTCAATACAGCTCCACACCCCCTCCCGCACCAGAACGCAGGGAGTCGGCCTGCTTACATTCCAGTGCATTCCAGTACATTACAGGTCCCGGCGTCCTGTCCTCCCGTGGTGCTCGTGTGGCCGACGTTGCACATGGGGTGTCCTGCACCTTTCCATCTGCAGCGTCTGACACATTCAGCCGGCAGCCGCACGAGCACCACGGGAGCATAGCCGTAGCCAGCTCCTTTTGCGCCTGAGGCAAGAAAAAAAACAAAAAGTTTTTTTAATTTATTTTTTATTTTATTTTCATTATTTATTTTTATTTATTTTACATTTTCATAATTTTTTTTTTTCACTCTTGGGGGGGCTTTGGGGAAATATTAGGGGTCTAAAAAGCCCCCTGATATTTCCCTTTTAAAATAGAAAAAGAAATTGAGGACACAAAGTCCTCAATCTCTTTTTCTGCAGCCTCTATTCTAAATGAATGGAAAGTACAGAGGCTTCCCATTCATTCAGAAAATATTTTACTATCAAGCTGTTTCTGAATGGTGAGGAGCCTCTGTACAGAGTGCTTCTCCCCATTGAGAAACTTATGAATGAACAGGAGGTGATGTAAATCAATCTCTCTCTCTCTCTCTCTCTCTCCTCACTGCTCTGCATTAGTTAGTGACAGCGGCTCCGTCCTCCGCCCTCCCCCGCCGCCGGTTCCTTCACTTCTTCTCGGATCCCCGCTGGGGAGAGCAGCGGAGATCCAGAGAAGCGGCGGGAGGGGAGGACATGGCGATCTACCAGTGATCGCTACGCGATCGACTGGTAGATCGCGGTTGACCTTATGGGCACCCCTGTCCTAGATTGTCCCCTTCTCCTGCCTTCTCCAAACTCTTCACCCTTTTGTGAATAGACCCCATAGTTTTACAGCTAAAAAAAAAAGGTAAAAGTAGGCATCACGTGGTGTCTGTTTTTAGACAAAACTTTAAAGTTGCAATAGAGTAGAAGTGGATTATTCATTTACAGCTTCCAGTCACATGTAAAAGTCCTGAGGTTTGCTATGGGATACGACTTTTTTTGCAAGATAACTATAAGCCATCAATGCTAACAATGCGTTTTAAACAAATGCTTCTTCCCCTTGTTGTTGTAATCACAAAAAAAAATACATTTAAAAAAAAATGCTAACAATGCGTTTTAAACAAATGCTTCTTCCCCTTGTTGTTGTAATCACAAAAAAAAATACATTTAAAAAAAAAATCTAAATATTAGATAGTTATAATAAGGTTTCCTTTGTAGTTAGACGGAAACAGCTCCAGTGACAATCCTACGGATGTGGGTATAGGATTTCCTTATTGTAACGCTGCTGTGATGGGAGACTCCTCGGGGGAGGACACATTCTTCAGTCAGTTTTCCTATGTCAATGTTCCAGCACAAAACAGTGGCAATGACCTCATTCCTCTCATCTCTTCCACCTGTGATGAATATTTTATTACAACATGCAGCTATTCCACAGCTTGCTCTTTCATGGCTAAAACTTGTCACCAGGCACCAAGTATCTTCCAGAGGGCTGTATGAATACAGCGCTTTCATTGCACCACCTACAAAGCAAAAATGTGTTATCAGGTAACTCATACATAACGTCAGAGGTTCATAGCTTTGCAGACCAGCAGAATAGCATAATTTATTGGATTCCAGAGATCTCCACAGATTCTCTAAGCAAATCTCTGCAAAACTTCTTAATGACCAAGTTTGACCCTCCAGCCACAGAGCACAGCCCATATATAAGCATATCCCATAAGCATATCCTTTTTTTTTAACACATGAGTACTGGAACACAGCTGATTGTCTCCTTGTTCTGCTCCTTCCCCTCCCAGTCTGAGCTCTGCTGTGTAGGGGTTTACAAGGCTGATACCAAATCATATTTGGGTAATTTGGGTAATTACACTGCTTGCATTTAAAAACATCTTTAAGGATGTATTAATGAATACAGAGCTGCATTCATTTGTGGTTTTATATCTGACTGGAGTTTGACTTTAATGTTCTAACAAGCTCTGTTCAAACACGCATGTTCACTTTGGGGAGCATGCATGCTTGTTCCTATGAAGAGGGTTGGGGGAGAGCAGCTGGCCAGGAAATATCTATCCTGGCTAATCCACTTTATACTTGGCAAGGTATATAGATAAACCAACATTGCCCAATCACTTTGTTATGTCAATAGGAACCTTTAAATGATCAATTTAGCACCAAAGTAAAACAAAACAAATGAAAACATGTACTTTAAATCTGACTAGTGTAAAGACCTGACTCTGTCTCCATATTAGCCTACTGTAATCTTCTGCATTGCCTAGCATATAATTAGGGATGTCCCGATACCAATACTAGCATCGGTATCGGGGCCAATACATGGCATTTTCACGCGTACTTAAAACATTTTTCAAATAGCTTCGGCTGCCGGAGATGAAGAAATGACAGGCAGAAGGCAAAACGTGGGAAGCCAGTGACCCGCACAGCCCCTCCCCCGGAATACGCTCTCCACCAATCGCAGCCTTCCTCTCCGCTCTGACCTCTCCGGACGGAAGTGTGACAGAGTGGCAGTCGGTGAGTATTAATAGTGTTCTGTGTGATGGAACTCTGTCTGTGGACTGTACTGCGCAGTGTGTAAGTGCCGGGGAAAAGAGAGAGGCGGGAGGTAGATCCTGTGTTCGGGTCTATGAATGGTCATAGACAGGGCCATTGTTTTCAGCAATTAGCAATGTTATTGGCAATCTTCTCACTGGCCAGCAATGTAAGGGGCATTTTTCACACTGGAACCTGCACGCAGCCCTGGCGATATCTATATGCAGCCCTGTTGAGAAAATGCCCTAAAATCGTTAGTCTATATTGTTTTAGAAAAAAATCTCACATGTCTCTTTAACCAGTTGACATCCGTGGTGTTAAACCCCCTTCC